TCCCAGTGCCTCAGCTCTAACCACTAGCCCACACTGCCTCCCCTCTCTCTCCCAGTGCCTCAGCTCTAACCACAAGCCCACACTGCCTCCCTCTCTCCCAGTACTTCTGCACGAGCTCCTAATGCACACGCTCTCACCTCCCGCCTGTCTGTCAGTATCTCAGCTCTATCTCACTTGCCCGGGTGGCTTTCTCCTTCAGTGCGGACACACTTCAGAGAGTCTTTCAGCTCCCTTTCACAGCAGCTCTCCCCTCCTCTCTGCATGTTAACACAGATCCTCTCCTCACCAGGGCCCCTCTCACAGGGCTGCCAGCGTCCCGCAGAGCTTTCATCTCTAATTCATCACAGCGCTGACAGAGGCGGTGTGGGCACAGCGCGGCCCCACAGACAGCCTCTTTGAGCGCAAGGGCAGAGGAAGACCGGGCGCTCGCTGTGCTCTGTGTGCGGAGCTCCTGAAACCCTGCATCCAGCCCGCGGCTGAAAACGGCCCCCGGCCGTCTCATTATTTCATCTTTCTATCGCTTCCATTTTCCCCCTTGTTTTCTTCCATCCCTTTCAGAGTTCAACATCTATTTAAGACACTGCCAGAACACGTTATCTGGGCCTCTCTGCTGGTCTGACTTCTGCGTGCCGGAGCGCGTCGCCGGGAAGACTGGGCGCTGGGGGTGTGCGCGAGAGGTGTCTGGTGCCCCTGTGTCAGCCTGTGAGCTCCCACCGGGGGCAGCACCCGGCTCTGAGGCTCAGTAGGCGCTGGGAAGGCAGCGAGGTCCCTCGGGCCCTCTCCTGTCTCCAGCTCTCTGCGGAAATCCAGCTGAACCACGAAGGACGTGGCACAAAAGAAGTGGAGGTTTGCCTCAGCATGTAGAAAGGTATTAATAATCCATACCGTATTAATAATGTATTGACAGTGAATTATTAATGCCGATCGATTCAGTGGTCAGGGTTTTTCATGCAGTTGGTTGGCTAGGCTGGAGCTGTGGGCTCCATACAAACTAGAGAAACAGGTCTCTGCTGATGTGTTGTTGTGTGTAGAGTTACTAATGATCTGCCAAGAACTCAGCCTAACAGACACAGCTGGCAGTTTTACACACTTAAACAAACACAAACACGCAAGCACACACCCACAAGCATGCATGCACATGCACACACATGTAAATTCACACAGGCCTAAACAAACACGCACACACACACGCGCGCCCGTGCGCGCGCAGAAACAGCTCTAACTCAATCAAGGAGAGGGGGAGATGAAATCAGCCGTTTGTACTGCTGTCGGCAGTGATGACAGCCCTTTTCTGCTGCAGGTCTTTCAGCTGACAATGAGTGAGAGAGGAAGAGACAGGCAGGATTTATAATTTATACACAACTTCGTTTCTGCTCTGCCGCAGTTCAGCAAACAAACCAAGATATGTCAAGATAAACACTCTGGCTGAGGGGACTGCAGAACGCAAAGCCCTTTTTAGCATATTGCATTTAATTAGATGGCTTCAATTAATGAATTTCAAAGGAGGCATGGAGAATTAGGGGGTATTCTAGAGGGTGACCTTTTGGACTTAATGAAACAGCAGCACAAAGCACAGCAAATAATAAACTAACAGACAGAGAGCCAATAACTGGTGTCTGTGGAGTCTTGCATCGAACCTTTCCAGGGTTGGGAAGCTGAGATACAATCGTGGGCTGGAATACAGATGAATCGAATGGGTAGAAAGCACCGGCACACCTGCAAGTCTGCAGTACGCCTGGTCTTTTCTCTCCCTGACTCTATTCCAGCCTCGACATGTTACAGCCCCCTAATCCTCGCCTGCGCCTGTCTCACCACACCACTCCTGCCCGCATTCGGCTCCTGGCGCACCAGGGCTTCCTGTACCGCCCTGCCTTCCCCCTCTGCCCCAGCCCTCTCCTGGCCTTGCCCCTAGGGGGAGGAGAGGACTGCCCTCTCAGTGCCAGCTGCAGACTCAGTGCCTCTGACCTCCCAGCTGCCTCCTTCAAGAAGCTCAATACTCCTGATTCTCCGACTGGCACTGTCACCTGCCCACTCAAGCCACATGCCGGCTCCATCTCCATTACTTCTCCAATCCCGGGACTCTCCTGGTCTAAACCTGCCTCTTTGTTGACCTGTCACTATATTTTCACCTCACCTTACTGCACCCACACAATTGCTCCTCGGATTCACACTTCACATTCATATACTGTACATTTAGACTTCGTGCATTTGCACACTGAGCAACTCGTTAATAATACGGTCAGTGATGGAGCCCTCCTGGTGCTGAGCCTGTTTCCCTCAAAGACAGAGTCCTGCTGTAGCAGCCCGGAGAGACGTGGTACAGGCACAGGCGGTGCAGTGCGTCATGCAGGGCCTGACACAGACGCTCAAGCACAAGGCCGATGTGTCTGCTGCTGGCGTAGGAAGTGTCGGCAGAAAGTGGAATCATTTTGTCACATTTCAAAGCTGCGCTTTTTGTAAAAAGGCAGAAAACATTAAAAAAACACAAAAGAGCGAAATATCTATAGATCTAGAGAATGGCGTATACTAACAAACATCTGAGAGAAAAGGAAGGGCGATGTTGAAACCGCCTGGGGGTCTTTAATCTGATGGAGCTCAAAAGCACCAGAGTGGCTGATCCGTCAGCCTGTTGCAGGGGCTGCCAGCAGCTCAGAGACAGTCTGGAGACCGACTGCTGTCCAGGGTGCTGAACAATGGTGCTGATTTCATTGCTGCGCTCCCAGCGTGCTACACAAGCACTGTGCACCAGTCCCACTGTGCGCATCGATTCAGCCTCCTTTGTCTCACACTCATTTTCTGCCTTCCCACACAGGAACCCTTCACGGTCCGTACATTCTTAAACACTTGGGGAAAAAAAAACTGTTCCATCAGGCCATACTGTATCTTCACGGACGATAGATAAGTGGCAATCAAATTGAATGACTCAGTGCAAAACGGAACGCAAATTCAGACTGGATGAACTGAGAACCTAAACCTGCTTTTCTGGGGGAGAGCCACTGCTTCCTCGTGCTGTTTTTCCCTTTACTGGAGCAGAGGGTGGAGACAGCACAAGGGCTCCAAGGCTGAGAACAGTCCCCTTCCTCCCTCACACACACACACACACCTCCTTTCCTGCCCCCTGGCCGCCCCCCCGAGTCACACTTAGTCACCGCATCCCTCACAGCAATGAGTCTCAATCTAGGAGCTCATGCCTCACGTCTGGCCTGGCGCGAACGCTGGGGGCCGTGTGGAGCACTCTGGTAAAAAGGCAGCAGATTGATCTTGGAGCCCCCAGCCCGGAGCGCCGTGTGGGGGGGGGGGACTGCAATCACTGCGGCCGTGGCAGCTCATAACTCTTCGCTGGAGAGACGAGGGGAGTGTGACAGCTCTCCACTCCCTGCAATCCTCGCAGATAGATCAAAGAACCTTGTTTTTCTGCAATGCTGACTTGTTGCTGCCTGTCCGGACTGAGGGGCTGTGAGAAAAAGGACAAGACGATGCTGCTGCTGACAGAAGACAGGTTTTGTTGCACAGACGGGAGCTTCTCAGATGGTTGTAGGCACCGTGCATCGGTTTCTGCCCACTTCCCTGATGTGCGGCCCACCTGGCGCGAGGGCGCGATTGCCCTGCCCTCCCAGGCTGCACTGCGTGATCTGCATGTCTTGGCGCACATATCTGCGCAGGAATGTGTGAGTGCATGGGTGTGCCCCTGTGTGTGTGTGTGTGTGTGTGTGTGTGTGTGTGTGTGTGTGTGTGTGTGTGTCAGGGGGTTGAGGTGGCCCTCATCCTAAAGACAACAGGCTTGCAGTCCCAGCCCCCCGCGCTGCCTGGAGCAGTCTCATCAGAGCCAGCCCCTGTTGGTGTACCATGTCATTATACCTGACTGTCTCGATTCTTTATCGAGCCCGTTGCCACTCTCCCGGCCCAGTGCGAAGCGGGTAGTGACGAGCACATGTGCCCACAGGGCCAGGCCTCCTGCTCGGCACACGCTGGGGTCCGAGCGCGAGTGTCAGGGGGGCAGAGCACGCCGCCCTGGTGCCCAGACTCTCAATCGCACAGACAGTACACAGGGCGCTGGCCAGGCTGGGCAGACGAGAAATCGCAGGGGTGGCAGTTGAGGGCAGGAAAATACTCTTTTCACTGAACAGCTCCAACATCAATGCACAAAAGGCCTGATTTTCCAATACTGGCAAACACGCCTTGCATATTTTGTGACAGCTATTATTTTTTAAAGATTTTCCAAACAGTGGCTCTCAATAATTGCAGTCATTTTGAGACTACGCTTATGTCAGCGGCATACCTATTCCATTTTTTTTGAGAAAGGCTTATTGAATATTTCAGTGAACATACAGATTAATTTTCTTGCCCTTAATCATCAACAAATTATTGGTGCCGCCAACCCATAATACGCTGGGAGTGACCTCTGAAGGACAGGGGTCACGTTCTGAGGAGAGCGGACTGTTCCATTTGCTCCCGGGAGGGGGAGGAGGGGAGTGGGTGGGTTCACTTTGCACATCCCTTACTGCCACAGCAAAGACTGCTGAGCTTCTATACCAGTGCTTTCCCCCGTCCTCCACGGGCAAAGTTCATTTGCACTGAAAAATATTATCTAGCCAAAACTTAATGGGCTTTACAGCAGTCCTGTGCTGCATCCCCTGGAAGAGTGGGCCGGTCTCACTCTCCTGGTGCAGCCTCTGTGCAGAGACAGCACGGCGAGCTTTCTCAGCCCTGCCAGCCTGGACTGGGAAAGCAGCCGCCCAGTGGATCCAGTACCTAGGATGGCCAGCACGGTGTTGTCCTTCAGCACCTCCATGGACCCCGAGCACACGAAGTAGATGGCCTGCAGCGCGTCGCCCTGCCGGATGAGGAACTCCCCCGGCGCGCAGAAGGAGGTCTTGATGATGAGCGAGAGGGAGCGCAGGCACCCCCTGCTGGCCGACTCGAACAGCGGCAGCTGCAGCAGCTCCTTGTTCAGGTGCATGGCGATGTCCGCGCGCAGCTCGTCGGGGAAGTCCTTCAGGAGCTGGAGGCGGGGAGTGGACGCGGACAGGGACAGGGACAGGGACAGGGAGATGGACAGGAAAGGAAAAAGCGACATGGCAGCGCGGGCAGGCAGGCAGGTGATGGAGGTTAGGCTAGGGTTAGAAGGACACCGATTTCTGCAGAAGAGGAAGCAGCTACATGGCTAGGATTAACATTTAACCTGCTCACGTCTGCTTTTTTCAAGAGATTCCTGTTTGATGGTCAATTCTTTATCTCTCCTTCGCAGCAGTACAACTAAAACGGACCAACATTATCAACAAATAAACCAGCTCAGCAGTGGTTCAGGAGGTAAGAGAGTGGTTTCACAGCGAGGCTGCAGAGGGGATGACAGATTTCCTGAGCCTGGTACTGTTACACCTGGAGCCACAGAGGCATCTCCCAGATGAGAGCAGTGTGAATCCGCAGTGGAGGGAGTGAGTCATCAGACTGTCCGACCTGTCTGAAGGATGACTCTCGGGGTCACTGTAAGGTGAGTTGCAGGGCCTGGGGTTGAGTGATAGTTTTAACTATAGACATAGTGTTAGGACTAATAATACGATTAAAGCAAGGGGTGAGATGAGGGCTGAAGAGAGGTCTACAGCACAGCACAGGTTAGGAATAGGTCTAGGGTTAGATTTAAGGTCAGAGTTACAGCTTTCCAGATTTAGGCTAGGGATTGAATTAGGATTTGATAATACTTCTGGATCTGGGTGTAGAGCTGGGATTAGGTTTAGGGTTACATCTGGAGTTAGGTGTAGGGCTAACTCCCAGCGGTTAAGGCTGGCACTAGGGTTAGGGTTACGATTGCTCAAGGGCTGGGGTGTGGGGTCCAGACACACAGGTGCTCCCGGGTCAGAACCTGTTCAGGGCTGGCATTAACGTGAGCACTGGGGTGTGGGCTCAAGACACAGGTGCTCCCGGGTCAGAACCTGTTCAGGGCTGGCATTAACGTGAGCACTGGGGAGTGGGCTCAAGACACAGGTGCTCCCGGGTCAGAACCCGTTCAGGGCTGGCATTAACGTGAGCACTGGGGTGTGGGCTCAAGACACACAGATGCTCCCGGGTCGCTCCCTCACCTCGTTGACATCGATGCCGTTGTTGACGGACCAGGTGGTCTGGAAGCACTCCAGCATGCGCTGCTCCAGGGCCTTGGGGAGCCGGTGCACGCGGATAAAGTCCTTCAGGTCCTTGGTGCGCGTGTGGTACAGCGAGCGGCGGGAGTACATGCGCTGGATGATCGCCGTCACGTTACCGAACACCACAGCGTGCATCAGGGCTGGGCGGGGGAGAGAGAGAGGGGAGGGAGTGTGAGTGTGAGACAGACAGAGAGAGGCGAGGGAGTCTGGACCCACAGGGAGGAGCTGGGAGGGAGGCAGGAGATCAGGAGAGGGACAGGGGAGGGAAGGGATGATTTGGATACCACAGAAGGGTATTTGGGAGGCACTTTTCCACCCCCTCTTCCACGTCTGAAGCTTGACTGAACTCCGGGCTGTGTGAGCCTGAGTGCTGGCGAGTCTGCTGATCATGTCAAGAGGGCTGTAGCTGTGCGTGTGCGAGTCGCCGCGTGTGAGGACAATTCCAGACGTGTTCTGATATGTCGCGGCAAACCCTCCCACTCTCCACCCCCCCCACCACAAACAGCAGCATCCTCAGTCCTCCTTACTGAGTGGCCCCTGCCCGGTGCAGCGTGCCCCTGAGCTGCGCAGTGCACTGGCCAGTCGGAGGTCCTTCTGCTGGACCCCTCAGACTTCACCTGTGGATCTGCCCCCCCCCAGCTGGTGCTGCCATTCAGCTCCCAGGCTGTTTCCATGGCTACACCAGAGTTGCTAAAATTAAAATAAAGCATCCGAATAATAATAATAATTAGGAGGGAAAGAAAAAAACCTCCAAATGCACAGACACGATCCTCTCTCTTCCCCAGCTGACACGTTTGCTCTCCGTGTGGGTTCCGGTGACAGCCGCTCCCCTGGGTGCTGGGGTCTCGGCTCCAGGCTGAAATCCGTCTGTGGCTCACAAGCAGCGGCAGTGAGCTCCCAGTTGCCTGGGATGGAGTCGGCCTGCCCTGCCTCCTGTGAGCTGGATCGGGCCAAGAGATCGGGCCAAGAGATAGCCTTCCTGGGCTTTCCATGCTGGCCCAGGAAGGCCGGCTATGAGCAGAGTAGAGGAGGGCAGGAGGGAGGGGAGTGACCTGCGTGGGAGTCTGCAGCTCATCCACGGTGCACAATTTCCACAGTGCAGCTGTGTGAGAGGCCATCCTGGGCCCGCATTGCACTGTGCACAACGCATATTCTCTGTTGCCACTGCCTGTTCGGAACCAGTGACCAGTGACAGTGAAATTGTGCACCGTGGATGAGCGACAGTGCTGTAGCTGGTACGACTCCTGAAGCAGAGCTGCAGACTCCCACGGAGGTCACTCCCCTCCCTCCTGCCCTCCTCTAGTCTGCCCATAGCCGGCCTTCCTGGCCTTCCCGCCTGTCACACTAACAACTATACAGCGCCTAAACACAACAACAGCTGGGAGTTGTAGCTGCTCGGCTGCAGCTAGCAGCAGTGATGAAGCACGACAGGGCTACTCCTGCCCTGTGACGGATTACATCACCATGTGGTCACTCAGCGCCAAGCCGGCAGTCACTCAACTGTGCCTGTGGCTGGACGTCCTCCCATCACTCAATCAATGCTGAAACACCTTTACATGACAGGAGAGCTGAGCGCTCAGGGCAGGGCGTGCTGTGTGTCAATCAGGAAACCTGGAGGAGAGCCCAGCTGTTGTGCTGCCGTGTCCAGCCAGAGTAAAGTGGGCACAGACAGCTGGTCTGAGGGTGAGGAGAGGGAGCAGTGCTGTCTGTTGCCGAGGCGGAGCGGGCGAGGAGAGACAGGCTCCTCGAGCTCAGTCTTCAGGCTTCACACCACCCGATAAAGGTACGCTGGGAAAAAACAGCCTGTGATCCACATTGAAGAAGTTCAGTAGGCAGCTGCATCAGCATGCATAGGCTGCAAAGGAACAGGTGAAGGTTTATTCCATGCTGAAAGGAGAAGAAAAGAGTACGACACCTGAAGAAGGCTCCACAGCCAAAACGTTGTCTCTTGTCTTTTCCTTTCAGCGTGGAATAAGCCTTTACCTGTTCCTTGACAGCCTCTGTCATTGTTACGGTTGCAGCTGGCGTCAATTAACCCTCATTATCCAATTTCCACTCCACACCTCTTCCTTCACTAAAACCCTCCCTTCACTCCGAGTCGCCGCTCGGTGTTAGGAATCTATCCCCCTCCTGAGCTCGCGTCTCTGTTTGCCTTTGACCATCGTAACGAAGACTCTCCTCGCCTTTCGCCTCGCCCCTCTCGGATTCGTTTGCCTCCCTGTCTTCTCCACCTGGATTCGACCCCCTCGCCCGGAACTACCGACCACTCCTCTGCCTCGCCACCTCTCGGACTCGCAGCCATTCGGGAGCTCCTGGAGACCCGCACAGGGCTCCTTATAACTCGCCGTGACAGTCATCCGCATTTCTCAGAGCCCAACCAGCATTTTACCCATTGTGACTAAGAGCTCAATGCAAGAACGAAACAGCTTCGATGGGCTAACAGGACAAAGCAAGAAACAAAGGGTCAGGGGGTCCATCGGTGTCCCCTGTACCGCTGTGACCTGTGTCTCCCACGCCTGACGTCTGCAGAGACATGATGCCCTCGTGACGCCCTCGTGACGCCCTCGTAAAGCAGGACCTTGCCTGTCTGTCACAGCACCAGCGCAGACCTCATACATATCCATACAGCATTACCGGGCTGGGAAATGCATGGCATTTTTACTTCTCCACGCTCTCTCACGCTTCAGTGCCCTCCCCAGCCCCCGCCGCGGGTCTCGCTGCCCAGGCACAGTCGCGGCCTTGTGCACAGCCCTGTCAGCCCCTGTCTGAGGGCGCAGGTGCTCAGAGCAGAGCCCCTGGCCTCGGGGGGTCCAGTATCGCAACGCCACCGGCCAAGGAGAGGGCCTGTCCCATAAAGCTCAAAATTCCCAAGGGCAGAGCAAAGCAGGAGAACCTAACGTAAAAGGTCAATGGCTGAGGAGGTGGCTCCCTTCCTCTCTGATGGAGATCAGACTCTCCTGCTTCTTCCTCTGTAACCTCAGTCACGACGCAGTGTAACTGAGCTGAACCCCGGCTTGCATGAGAACAGGGTGGGCGGCCACCCTACTTATTTGATAAACCAGGAACGGCGGCAAGGAGAGCAGGGAGAAGAGTGTCAGCCCACGCGTTCTGAACGGCTCTGCTGGCGGTCGAGTATTTCGAGTGTCATCAACCAGGGTTTGTGGAGAGAATCAATGGGCTCTTAAACTGATGCCCTATAACATGCAAATGAAAAGTCAATAGACATGCAACATATAATAGGCGAAGATGGATGGTGAGATTAACTCTGGGGCGTTCAGTTTCATTATTCGGGTGAAGCACCACAGAATGCATATCTATTGACTCTTGACTGATGATTTAACTGAATATCTATTAAGCCTCTTATTTAGGCCACTCAGAATTAAAGTGTTCTCTCCAGCCCAGTGCTAGATTTGTCACAGGCAAGAGACTCAATTACTTCCCTGAGCAGAGCAAATGGTCATTTGAATAATAATTCAGGAGTGCTTCGAGGGGGAGCCCTGTTTGTGAGAGGGACTGCGAGGTGGGGTGACTGACTGACCGTGGAGAAAGAGAGTTCATGGTCAGACACTGTGATTTCTTTCTTTTTTATTTAATTTGGATCAATCCATTTGCGAGTACTTCGATTCCTGTGCTGGCCACTCAAATATTCACAGTCAAATCATCTTCCCCACTGCAAACCCACTGGGAACTGCCTATAGCACAGAGGGAAGCTGCAGATCCCACCGCTGACACCACACATTCAGAGGTGCCTGTAAAGTCACAGGGCTTGCTTTTGTGTAGCATCAGTCCTGACTAACTCTCACCTGCTGGCACACCATCACTTGGACAATCCTGGCCGGTCAAATAGAATACAAGAAGGATCAGCTACAGCTTCAAGTTCAGCTACAATGAACACCAGCAGGTGTGTGGGGTCCTCGCGACCCAGTTCTGGGAAGCAATAAGAAGTGTACCTCCAAAAATGACCTCACATAAACCAGGCAAAGCCTGGGGTACATATGAGCCTCTCCCAGGACCTATCTGTAGCGATCTTCCCTTTGTGACACTCACCCCCGATCAGCATGGTGCAGATGGAGAAGATCTTCTCTGTGTCGGTGTTGGCAGAGACATTCCCGAAGCCCACACTAGTCAGGCTGCTCAGCGCAAAGTACAAGGACGTCACGTAAGAGCTGCGCACCGAGGGCCCGCCCCCTAGTTCCGCCCCAGATGTGTTCCATTGGCTGGAGGCCAGGGAGGCCCTGCCCACTAGCCCTGTGCCTGACGCGTTCCATTGGCTGGTGTTCCAGGACCCCCTCCCCGAATGCTCCGCCCCCGTGACGTTCCACTGGCTGGCGTTCGGCGAGGTCCCGCCCAGATCTGTGATGTGAGGGGAATCGGCTGTGCCCAGAAGTGGGGTCAAGGGTGTCAGAAAGTAGGGAGTCCCCAGGCGTTTCCCAAGCTCATGGAGCCAACCTGGGAGAAAGACAAGGAGGGCGAAAAAATAATTCAAATCAGTGTACCTGCACATGACCAGGATGCCCAAGCCATCCAGTGCATTCTGTCAAATTCAGTATCTTCCAACAAGCCCACATGCAAATATGTAAAAATAAAACTTTCAAGGGAATTTGCTTTGCCTGTGTAAGAAAGCTACTGTCAAGTAGACAGCAAGCGAGACAAATATTCACATATTATCACGCTTTTATCAATCAATAAAAGCATGCCTCATCGGCATGACTCAGAGCAGCAATAAGACAAATGAAAGACCGAATTCAAGGTATATGTGTCCTGGTATAACAACAGCACAGGTACGAGTCAAGCTCCTTCATTAGACTAGCTGAGCTGGGTGGAGTGGGCCGGCCCCTCTGCCCATCGACTGCCCCTGGGACTGGTTCAGCACGCTGTCAGGCCGTCTCCCTTCCCCAGCGTGGCACCCTCACGCCGGCTGAGACCTGCGCCCCGCAGCTCCCCCTTGTCACACAGTGACTGGGCCTCACAGCTGTGTGACCGGCAGCAGCTCCTGCCCTGCTCAGCCCCTGCGCGCATCCTGCTGCACAAATGCCACCCTACTGTGCCTCTGTCGGAGGGGCATAGATTGTGGGACCGGGAAACGTCTGCTGTCCAGTGCCTGCCTAGGACTTATTGTTGGTGGAGGCGTGGAATCGGGAGGGTGAGATGGAGGACTGCGCCTGTTCAGGCAGACCCTGAGGGAGGAGGGGGGCGATCTGGGTTAGTCAAGCCGACAGAAGAGTTGACAGAGCAGAGCGGACGCCACGGACGATTTCCACGCCTCGTCCTCTGGACGGGAGCTTGTCAGCGCTGCGCTGCCAGGGCTGTGACAGAGAGCGCAGCAGGAGCCAGGAAAGGCCTGTGTTACAAAGGTCCCCTGATGGAGACAGGGTAAGAGGAGCGCCAGGAAGCGATCTGTCGCGTGCTCTCATTTGCTGGGAGCTGAACTGCACAAATCTGTCTCTGTCTGGGGCACTCGTGGAAGCACTCAAAGACCAAGACTGAAGTGCAGAGATGACCCCAAGTCTGAGGAAATGAGATGCTGAATTTATTAAGGCTGTTCTAACTAGCAAGAGAGCACGTAGAGCAAGACCCCACTCGGGGCCCAATGGCGGGATCTGCGGGCTCTCTCATGTGTGTGAGAGTGTCTGGAGTGAGAAACCAAACTGAGGTCGGCACGAGGAGAGAGGGCAATCACGCTCACACACAACCCTCAAGCCAGAGGAAGAAAGGGACAAGTATCCCAAAGAAAGAAGTTTTACCGTGTTTATTCTTTCCCCAAAAGACAGATTTCGAGCTGCTGACTAGGCACCTACACACGGGGAAGCACATGAGGCTGGAGTCACACCCCATGAGAGGGAGGGGCCGATCTGAGGCAGGAGACACGCCCCTTTGTGTGGGGGTGGCGATCTGAGGCAGGAGACACGCCCATTTGTGTGGGAGGGGCCAATCTGAGGCAGGAGACATGCCCCTTTGTGTGGGAGGGGCCAATCTGAGACACGCCTCTCTGTGTAGGAGGGGCCAGTCTGAGACAAGTGACGCCCCTCTGGAGGCAGGAGTCTGTTCCTAGGACCTCTTCCAATCTCTCTCTGTCTGAGTGGCACGGACTCCAGATATTCCCAGGCAATGGCCCTTTCTTAAACACTTGAGCCCTAACAGCATGGCTGGACAGCTGGTTCCAGACTCCACTGAAGTGTTCACTGAAGAAGTAACCCCTAGAGGTTTCTTTTCTCCTTACTAAGGAGTTTTTGGTTCCTCTCCTCCGTTGTCTTCTGGTCTTTTCTGTTCTGTATTTACAACATGTATGGAAATTTGCTTTGTTAAGCACCTTGGGGCAACCTTTTTGTGAAAGGCGCTATATAAAAATAAACTGAATTGAATTGAACTACACTGAACTGACTGTCAGTGTCTCAGAGAGTGCTGAATACTTACACGAAGTCTCCTGGTAGTGTTCTCAGTCCAAGACTAAAGAGATTTAGATCTTTAAGTCTGTGAGTGTAGGACGCTCCTATCCGTCTGTGAATCTGGCCCTGACAGGGCCAGTTCTAGAGCGGTGATATCTGTTTTGGATCAGGGTGGCCTGTGCTGCTTCCCAAGGCCTGTTTGTGCTTTCAGCAACACGGAGCAACAATAAGACAAGAAGTGGCCTGACTCACAGAAACTCTTTGACCAGACCTGCATACGAACCGCCTTCCTTAAT